GTCGTTTATGGCTAGTGTGCCAAGTTAAAGACTGCGCAAGTCTATTAGGATGAGCTTGAAGCTTGGACTGATACTTTGCTTTCACCTTGGCAATTTCATCTTTAACTGATCCTACATTTAAGTCTTTATGGATATTTTCATTCCGTATGTACCATGGTGCCCCAGTGATAGTTCTTAGTATCTTCGATTGAGCTCTCTGGATTATTTCTAAATTACTAACGCAAGCATTTCCCCATAGCCCGGAGCCGTATGTCCAGATGGGTTTGAGAACTGCTTTGTACAAAAGTACTTTGATCTCCAGTTTTAGTGGTGAACGGGTGTTTATTAGCCAATGTAGATTACTAGCTTTAAATTTGAGTAGATTTCTCTTCGCTTTGATGTGAAGGCCAAGTAAGCCTTCTATCCAGATGAACACCAAGGTACGTTACTTCGGTGGTTTGTGGAATGTTGATATTGTTCAGATAACTGGAGGGCAAGTTTGTCTGGTTAGGGTAAAGGTGATATGCTTGCACTTTTGCTCGTTTACGTGTATGCGCCAGTCTGCTAGCCATTTTTCCAAGGCCACGAGATGAGATGATAAATGTTCCGTTGCTCTAGGCGGGCACTTGGAGCGACTTAGTATGGCAGTATCATCAGCAAATGTCGGAGTTGTTGTTAGGCTGCTTGTCGGTAGATCTGCTGTGAAGATGATGTACAGTGTCGGTCCAAGTACGCTGCCTTGGGGTACACCAGCTTCAATTGGATGATATGCAGAAAGGAAATCGTACTGCGAAACTTCTTTGCTGTAGGTATGACTCCAATATTCCATGGATGTTCTGGGGAAGTAACATTTTGATTTTGTGGATTAAGCCATCTAACCAAACGCGGTCGAAGGCCTGGGCGACATCCAGAAAAACAGCGGAGCAATACTCCCGTCTTTCAAATGCATTTCGTATCTCAGAGGTTATAAGGTTTACTTGTTCAATGGTTCCGTGTTTTTCGCGAAATCGAAATTGGTGCATCGGGATGGCACCGCTGATTGGTAGGTGTTGTTTGATACGATTCAGGAGAAAATTTTCAAATATCTTTGATAGGCAAGGCAGTAGGCTGATAGGTCTAAATGATGATGGCTTGGACTTGTCTTTTCCGGCTTTATGGATCATTGTGATGACTGATTTACTCCATGCTTGAGAATAATAGCCCCATTTCATAATGCTGCTGAATATCATGGTGAGGAAATAGTCTGCACAGCTCGGCAATTCTATGATCATTTTAGGGGAGATGAAACCTTTCGAGGCAGGTGATCTGTGGGCTTGCCACTCTCGCCGAAGCCTTCTTTTATCGCGTAGCAGCACTTCAATGTGCCTAGAAACACGACTGCTGTTGGAAAGTTTATTAGCTGCTAATATTGGTGTTGAGTGTTTTGCCGCCAGTGACATTGACCTATCAATGTCATTTTTACAATAAATGTTTTGGCGGCTTTCAATATAGGAACTTATGTACTTCCTGTATTTGAGCCAATCTGTTTTGGTAGATGTTAGAAAGTGTGGGCGTTCCGAAAGCTGTGGATGGTCGTAAAGATGAAGTAGAATGGGCGAGTGATCCGATGATAGATCTCTTAAGTGATCTACATGAATCTGAGCATGCAGCACTCTTCGTGCAATTCATTTTTTCATTTTCGAGGTATTTCTAAGCTGATCGATAGTTTTTTTCGTCATTGACTTGAATTTTTGTTTAATTTATGTTACCTCTTTTTATGGACGTGACATAGGATGTGTTTGCGCCAATTTTATCAGCTATTTTTTTTACCAGTTCAACACAATTTGCCTGACGAACATAAATAGGTGGCGGCCTTAGCTTGTTGGCCTTGGGTGTTTGGGCGATCTCATCTTCATTTGGGACACTTTGTACCGCAATTCATTTGTTTGCTAGTGCCTTATGTGGCACAGTGTTCTGGGTTATTTTAGTTATTTTAGCTGCATTATTATTGATCGAAGTTTGTGGGCTCAATTTTCTTTTTATTTGCACATAGCGATCGAGCCCATCGATCTGAATTAACGCTCCGTTAGCGTTTTTCGAACTTATTGGTTGGAAGAGGTGGGGCTTGTCGCAGTGGGTCGACAGTATCGGGCGCTGAGCAATTGCAGTGGTTGATGTTGTGGTTGTTGTCGTTGTTGTGGTCGAAGACACAGTTTTGAGCGAGGGCATTGTACTAGTTGTTGTCGATAATAGCAAATCGTTGGTTAGGCAGTACGAGTCGGGGGATGGGCACTGAGCACTCCAAGACCCACTATGCAATGCAGGGGAGAGAGAGAGAGCTCTCTCCTCGTTCGCTGCAGCCTTTGCCGAGCGTATAGAGAAGTACGCGTTGTTTTTTAATTGCGGGAGCCGACGCTCGTCTTGTTGCTGCTGCCGGGCTAGGCTCATTTTGGCTTTGGTTACAGTGCTTGTGCTCTTTACCGAGCTGGTGCTCTTATACGTTGACATTTTTTTTTCCCATTATTTCTATTATTCTTTATTACACGATTAGATGATTGAACTAGTACCCATGCATACCCCGAGCGCTTTTTCGAGAATTCATTTGCGATTAATTGATTTTCACGACGGAGCTATACAAAAATATGTCTGAAGTCGTTGACGGTTAACGGTGAGTCGAACATGTTCGTGGTGGTTTAGCATGGTTGGTTTAGCATAGCACTATGGGGAAAATTCCCATTTTTCGGGTATTTAGTCATTTTCTCAAATTATTAAAATTGGTTGTTTTTTTTTGGTAACATATTAAGAAAACTTCAAACTGTAAAGTCCAATACCAAAAATGTTATATAACATAGCACTGTTAAGTCTAACAGCTGCTTAAGTCAGCTGTTGCTGTAGAAAAGCACTTTCTTTAAGATTGCAATATTTTTGCAGCCTATTTTCAAAATGCCACTATTCAAACGCGAAACATTCTTTTTGTGAAATTTAAAAAGGATAGCAATCACACGGGTTTTAACTATGTAATGGTTGTACTAATACTTTGTAGTTGTGCGTGTTCTATTAATATTTTGTAAAAGTAGGAAACGTTCTCAAAGCACATTTCTTGGAAATATATTTCAAGTTCGTGGAGACATATAAAAAAACTAGAAGGGTTGATAAGTGTACGTCCAATTGTATGTCGTAGAGCTAATAATTTTGATTTAAAGGCAGTTTGTCTCAATGCACACTTTTGCGCACTATCTGCGCAAATTAATTTTTTGCAGCGGACTTCGAGTTTTCAAACGCGCAGCTGTTTGATGTATGGCGCAAGGAAAAAGGCAAATGCAATCAAGAAAATGCGATTCTGGATTTTTTTAAGAAGAGATTTAATAAAAACATTCATGTTTTTAAACATGTGCTATATTTAAAGAGTAAAAGTCAAATTGTGTGCCGAAACTTGAATGCCAAATGGAAAAAATTCATACAGAAGAAAAAATATTTTGAAAAAAGCGTTAAAATTGATTAATGAGCACAAAAAAAATATATAAAAGCGACTCAAATAGGAACAATAATCGACAAATTGGTCATCCAAAGTTGGCTTACTTGATAAAGGGGTAGGAGCTAAAAAAACAAGCAGCAGCTCTATCAAAAACTCAAGAGCAATACCTCTTTGTTGATTCAAGCAGCAAGCATAAAGGCCTTGCCCTTCCCATTGATTTTTAAATCCTCTTATTATGTGAAATTGAAGGCCCATATCAAACTTTTGAGGATTTCGAAGATGAATTAAGAAAAAACTAAGAAAATTTCTATTAATATTAACTATTGTTTCTTTAGCTCCTGAATTTCATCAAAATGAATTTTTTCCAAAAGTAAAACTTTATTTTTATGTATAAAGGAGTATTATAGTCAATAAATATTAATAAAGATATTCCAATTTTTAATATTATTATTTTTTTTAATTTGTGGGCATCGAAAAATCTTGCGTAGTTTAAAAGTTATTAATTAATACCCGAAAAATTGGAATTTTCCCCATAGTGCATAGGAGGCTCCTATTAGGAGCCTAGTAGCCTAGTGGTGGCAATAAGTTGGGTTATGGTTGCGTTTTAGATGCGTTTGTTCGATTTTCCGAATAAGGACAGTTCATATCTGGAGTTACGTTACATTCGTACGACAAAATGTTGAAAAATATAGTCAACAAGCCGAAACTTGGAAAAAGACTATCCTTGCTGAGTATGAATTGATTAGCCCTATATTCACCAAGAAAATGGCAATAATCGAGCGTACGGTTTTAAAGATGTAAGCCAAAATATGACCTAAAATTGCGTTATATAAAACAGAAGTGGTTTTCGAGGTTGTGGTTCAAAACTCTGCGAATTGGGTAGGTCTATCTGTATAAAAATTGTTTGTGCATGTATATGAAATACGTAGTGTTCATTTTTAATGTTATTTACTGTTAAAACTTGTCCTACTTTTTGTTTTGTTATAAGTCCGCGTAGGCATCTGACGAACGGTACTAGTGTGAGTGACGTTACCAAATTCTGCGATAATAAAAGCCTAAAAATATACTATAAGCAGAGATTGGACAAATTGGACAACAAAACCATATGTTGTTTACAATGAAAAATGGAGGGAAAATGTAAATTCTTATATATTCCTTAAAAATAATACTTTTAACCAATTTTATGATGCGAGATTTTTGTGGACCCATTTGGATTTGCAGACACTTCTGGACTTATGGGAGGAAAACAATAATGGATTTCGTGGTGTGCGGAAGAGCCCTCAAATATATGAATGAAAATCTTTACAAATAAATGAATTTGAATAACTGAACTTGTTATTCATTGAGAACTATTTATGAAATGTAGCCCCAAAACTTTTCTGTCCATATTAATAATTTGTTTGATTTATAAAATTTGGTTAGAAACACGCAGAACGTGATTTTTAAAATCTTATAACACAAAAACTAAACTTTGTGTCAATGTAAACACAAAGTCTGAGTTATTGAGTTAACATAACTATCGATAGGTAACTCATGTAGGTGTAAATAGGCTATCAGATGTACTCACCATAAACTGTTTCGTCGAGAAGAGTCTTCTTGATCTCGTGTCCATCGTCGCCGCCGTCAACGCTCTCGATATCTGTTCGTCTGGGTGGTTTCTCCACTGGATTTACCTCGTTGAGAAGACTCTTTTGCATTTCCATGATGACGGAGCCCTCCAGCATAGAGCCGTTGTGGGTCTTGTCCAGCTTCGAGGATATCAGGCCATCCGCACTCATCATGGTGGTGTCCTTTTGGTAGGTCTTAATGCGTCGGCAGTACCAGAACAGAGTCAGTACAACGACAATTAGAACCACGAGCAGAGTGGTTGTGATTAGGCAGATGATCAGAAACACATTCGTCTGAGGATCGCTGGTGGAGGCGCCAATAGCACCGCTCATACCTAGACCGCCCAGGCCGTCGGAAGCGGAAGCCGCTCCAACATAGTCGCCATCAACAAGCAGCTGGAACTCGGCCTCCGCCTTGCCACCTCGGTTATCAGCCACACAGATATAGGATCCTTTGTCTGATGCACGCACGCCGAATATGCGCAGCTCGGAAGTCATAACCTGCGATAGCTGCTGGAGGGGTAGCTGTTCCAGTGAGTTTATCACTTGGATTCGGTGATCATTGAGGTTGAGGGGCCGCTTGTTGTATATCCACGTGACGTTTGGGTGCGGAGTGCCCACTATTCGACAGGGCAGAGTGATGTTGTCCTGGTTAGCTTCGAAGAAGGAGCGAATCGTGCCGAGAATGCGAGGCCTGCAAGCGAAGTTCTCTGAGGGCACCTCGCTCCACAGTTTGCCGCGCAGCTGAGGTGGCTCTTGGCAGTCGGTAGGGGGAGTGTAGAGGCGCTTAGCGATGGCATAGTCGCGAAAAGCCTGCAGTTCGCAGCTGCAGTTCCAGACGTTGCCCTGCAGTGATAGGTGCATGAGCTTTTGCAGGTCCTTGAAAGTCTCCATGTGCAGGTGTGTTAGCTGGTTTTGCTCTAGCGAGATGGCGCTAATGGGCAGGGAGCCCACGAAAACGTTAAGCTGCACCTGCTTGAGGCGATTGTTGCGGAACTCGATCCGCGACAGGTAACTAAGGTTGACGAACAGGTGATTTCGCATGACCTCGATCTCGTTATTGTTGATGATCACGTTTCGCAGCTTCTCCAATCCGGCAAACGTGCCAGGGTGCAGCTCCCGAATACGGTTGCTGGAAATGTCCAGCTCGATCAGAATATGTAGACCCTTGAACGCCTCCCGGTGCACCTCCTGAATGGTGCAGTTGCGCAGGTACACCTTGTGGAGATTCGGCAGCCCCGCCATCAGAAACTCCTCGCGGCGCAGCTCCGGAATCTGGTTGTGAGCAAAGTCTACAACCTGCATCTCGTTGCTCATATCCTGCGGTATTTTGGCCAGCGACTTATTTTTACAGTCGGCGCTTTTCTTACCCGAATTCCAGTGACAGTGGCAATTGCTGCAACTCTGCATCCAGTCCGTGTGTCCCACTGCCTCCTGTGCCAGGGCCAGCAGAACCAGGAACAGCGCCATCACTCCTGCGCACATCCTGCCGCATGTAACTGATCGATGACTCTGCCTACTCAGTCCTGGGTGATGCCGTTGTCTGACTGTCATTTTGCTGGAGCTATTTCACGGCGGGAGGCCGCTGAGCATGTGCCAAGTGACGGACTTGAGCGGCCCTCGACAATGCCACTCTAGTGGTCAAAATCTTCGCTAGTGGCTCTGTGGGTCCTAGCCTTAATTTTATTTATTCGCTTCTCCTCGCTTTGCTTATCTACGCTTCTCCTCGCTTAGCTTATCTACGCTTCTCTTCGCTATTGGTGTCAGCGGTCACGTAATTTTCAAATTAAGCTCACTTTACCACTCCTGTTTGCCGCCCCTTGCCAGTTAATACTTTTGACGCGCTGGTTTTGCGCTCCAGGTACTGTTTTGGTTACAGTATCTCCCTTTTCTGCTTCTCGTCCAGACAAGGCTGTGACTAACTAATGGTTGTTGTCCTGGAGTCCATCAGTTTCCACCTGAAAGGAACACGAAACAAAGCGAAGAGTTCGTCGATTAATAAGGAATTAGAAAGGGATGATTATGCGACCAAAGGTCGCTAACGGTGCGGAAGGAACATGCGGAACATTAAATAATTCCGAAAGGTTGTACTCTGATTGGAAAAAAGTATCATTTATTGGGAAATGTGTATCATTATTAAAGATGATTAGCGCTGTCCGACTATTGCCTGTATCGATCAGCGTACAACGATGCATCGATGGCAGATTATAACGATGTAGAGGATTGGGATTATGTTACGTAAGCGGCGCCGGATTTCAGTAGGTCGCGACGCAACGGCATTTCCGATAGCGACTTATTCTGGTCGTGCATGTGTCGTGCTTTAATTTAAGTTGTGAACGAGGGCTGCTACTTACGTTTTAGGCCTAGGTCACTTCTACTATATTGGGACCAAATGGTCTTTTGCATAAAAAAGTTTGGAATTTTATGGCTTAAACCTACATAGAACTTTTTCAAGTACGATCTCGTTTGATATCAGTCTTTTTCAAGATTTTCTACCATATTTGAGGTGGATTTTAAAGACAAGTATGCTTTGATCAGCTTTAACTTTTATTGATGAAGCATCATGCATTACCAATGCAAAAAACTGGGTTCGCGAATTCAATCATGGACTTCGTTCGTTGCAGGACGAATTTCGTGAAGGTCGCTTAAAATTTGGATTTGGATTTTTGTGCCACAAAATATCGATGCTGTGCGCGAAATGATTGCGCAAGATCGTCATGTCACATGCCGTGAGGTTGAGATATCCTTGGGCTCCATTAATAAGATTTTCCATGATCACCTCGTGGTAAAAAAGGTGTGCTAGTCTGGGAACCCACACAATTCAAAAATCGAAAATTTTCAAATTCTGCCCGATCAGCTGACCCCCACAGTCCAATCGCAACTCGTGGTGGACACGGAAGATAAGCGAAATCAGGAAGAAATCGAGGAAACTCTTTAACAAAACTAAAGCGACGAGCACACAGGAAGCTGAGATGAATATCATCACACCTTCAATGCCTACAAGAACACCTGTAGGAACGAGAGAGAGAGTGGTGTTCATCCCTCAGGCTGGCTGGCTAAGCCGCATCCCAAAGGACTACAGACTCATCAGCCATTCCTCCATTATGCTGAAAACGATGGGACGACTAATGGACCTACACATAGGCACAAACGAGTGTTCATAGGAGCACAGCACGCCTCCCTCAAGGTTGGATCAGTTAAGACCGCACTACTCGAAGTGGATACAATGCTTTGGCGGCCTTCCTTGATATAGAGGACTCGTCAGGATTGAGTCAATAAACAACGCGCTGGCCAATATTAGCACACACCCGACGGTAACCAAATGGCTGGACACCGATCTTAGGAGCAAAACGATAAGCACCAATATAGGCTCTCACCTAGAAAACCTCCGTAGAGTCAAACGTGCTGGACACGTTACAAATTCGAACTAAGGCACTTTCCAAGACAAAATTCATTTTTATTTTTTTTTTTATCATATCAAAACAATTAGTTTTAATGTTTTCCTTATATGATATAAAATAATGGATTTTTCAAAGCTCTACTTTTATAATTTCAAAGCAAAAACATCCCATTTCTTGCAGGCCAGACAAAAAAATATGCTCGGCAGCTCAAGAAACTGTCTGGCAAATCTCAATGCCTGGCATCAATCAGCTGCTAAAAAAAAATTTATATCTGAATTGTTATGTAAACTTAAGAAAAATGGCTTTAGCGAGACTGTTGGCCATCGAAAGGCTGCTACGGAGGAAACCGAGTAGAAAACGAGAAGGAACGTATGAACGCTTCTATGGACGCGACTCTACTTTAATACCCGTACTCAGTCAGTATTTAAATATGCGAGTTTAATATATTAGGGGTGCCACAGAAATCATTTCCGCTGGAATTTCACCTCAATTCCATTCCGCGGTGCCGCACACCGATTTTTAAGCGGATTCGAAATCGCGCACTATTTATTCATCGATTTTATTAAATACACCCATAAACACACACTTAAAACGATTCGAATCTTACTTCCCCATAAAGGTTGTTCAATTGGTGATTTACCCTCATCCAAATAATTTAACATTATACATGTATACATTAACATTATACATATACAGTTAATGACATAAGCATTTTAGTAATTTTCACTTAACTATTCCGCGCTCAATCCGATGGCAACCGAGAAGGCCACCTAGGGCGATTCGGACTTTCGAAGTTAGGACAGTAATGCCACCTTTTATAAGCCGAATTCGGAACAAGATATTTAATAATAATTATATTGAAATCATTCTGATTGCAGTAAAACTTCCTTTACGTCAAACTTTTTGTGCAAATTATTATTATTATTACGTAGTTAACACGCAATTAAAAATTGAGTGTAACTTAAATTTGGGCTATAGCAACTAAGGCCTTAAGCTTAAGCTGTTCCTTCCGTTTTGTAGATCGAATTATTCCTTTGACGAACCATTTAGGGTCCTATGCTCGTACTTCAATTCCCTCTACCATATAATATCAATTACTAATTCCCTTCCTCTTTTTAAATCACTAATACTAACATACCTTTCCCGTAATTAATACTATTTCTTAGCTATCTTTGCATGTTTGCATGTTTAGCTCTTTGAGTTGTGTTTAGCTCTAATTTTTCTCGAATTTTAGTCTAACACCTATCTTTCAAGCATGCTCGCGATCGGTTCGGTAACACGCGTCGCGCGTCATGCGGCAGCGCCCCTCGGTCGGTTGGGCGGGAGGAGGGGCTGCGTTTCTGTCTGGGTTCCGCGCGTAACAGGCTTCGGCTTGGTGTCGCATGGGCCACTTGATGGTGCAGTCATTGCACCAAACAAAGCTTACTGCGCTTGGAATCTATATCTATAACAAAAAGTATATTATACCTTATAATTTATGTGGTGTGTAGTGCTATAGTCTTAGATGCATTTGTATTACTTAGTTTTAACTTAAATTTATTGAGTGTTTATTTACAGTATTATATCGAGTGGTAAATTTTGTGCGCATTTTTATATGATTGTATTTCATTTATTGTTGTTTTGAGGAATTTTGTTCTATTCGGTTGGTATTGGGGGCATTCTATGAGGATATGAGGAATGGTGAGAGTAATATTGCAAGTAGTGCAGGTTGGAGGGGGATTTTGTTAAGGATAAAGTTGTGTGTTAGATTGGTGTGACCCAATCGAAGTCTTACGAATTTAACTGCGTCGTTTCGTGTCAAGTTTGAGGTTTGAGTTTAAGTTTATTTGTTGATAGTGTGGTGAGGTGCTATTCCAAATTGTTTCTTTAAGTGTATGAGTATTGTTTTTTTTTTAATTACTGAAGTCTGTAGGATTGAGGTTGTTTTGTATAACTTTAGGATAGTTTTGGGGATTTTTAGCAACTTCATCCGCTAATTCGTTACCTGTTATATTGCAGTGTCCGGGGACCCAGAACAGTAATATTTTATGTTTCTTAGATAAGAGTATTTTTCTAATTGAGTTAGTGTAGAAATTTTGGCTATTCGTATTTTGTATTGCTTCTAATGATAAAAGAGAGTCGGTACAAATTTTTCCTTTCTGTTTGTTGGCATAGACACAGGCTATTAAAACGGCTGCTATTTCAGCAGTGAAAATAGATGAGTAATGGGATAGCAATTGATATTTAATTATCTCTCTTTCTGTTGTAACGCTGTAAGATACCACGTTAGAGGATTCGGAACCATCTGTGTATAAACATTTTTGGTTGTTTAAGGTGTTTTTGAGCTCTCTGAATTTTTGTTGGTAAATTATTTGAGGGGTATCTGATTTTAGTGAGGTGTGAAGAGATGTTTATGTAAGAGTTATTGAAGAGCCAGGGTGCAGTGTTTTCTATTATGGATGTTATGGGTTGTATATTGATATTCAATTGTTTAAGCTGTTTCATTGTGTCGCAAACTGAAAGTTGCAATTGGTCTTTCGACAGATATGGAGATGTTTGCATTTAGGTACCCAAAGTGATGCGCCAGAGTATTTGCACCAATAATTTATTCTATCGAACAGTGGGTTAATATTTAAAAAAGTCTGATTTTTTTTATTATGTCTATTATTGTACATTGTATTGTATAGTCATTGGCGTAGGCAGTGATTTCGTTGTTGTAGGCTATGGAAAAAATAAATACTGAGAGAGGGGATCCCTGTGGTATTCCGTTTTCTAGTGGCTTAGGGTTGGAGAATTCGTTGTTGCTTTATACTATTATTTTCCTATTAGTTAGAATATAATTTAACTTTATGTTATGTACGTAACGTTATGTATAAGATACATAACGCCATACGAAATTTTTTCACACGAATTTTTCAGGCTGGCTTTACAGCTGGCTCCACGCTCTGTTGAAATTTTGTAGAGAGAGAGAGAGAGCGCGCTCTAGAGCCAGCCGCTCTCTTGTATGCATACGAATGCACACGAAGTTGGTTCTCTGCCGCTGCGACAGCCGAGCCGAGTCGTCGCGACGACTGTATGTATGCACATGCATACGTTTTTTACAGCGCTGTCGAAATATACCCTTCTTTTTATAAGTGTAAGTTAATTTTGCACGACGCTTACCACCCCAATATTAAAAAACTCTTATATTGTATATATCCCTCCAATGATAATTTCTTTTAAGATGGTATATTCGATAATAATGAGCGGATATACATATATAAAAATACATATGTAATATACTTAATACATGACTTCACATTGGAATAATTGTCATTAGGGTATTCAGCGTGCGACGTATTCAACGACTGTAAATAAATTTGTTTCTCAACTCATAAAAAGGTTTTCGTCTCGAAAATCGTCCGTTTCGCACAAGTACGAA